GTGGGGCTGGGGACGGCGGCAGTAGCGGCGGTGCCGGCGGATCAAACAACAAGCGGAGGCGAGACGACGACGACGAAGAGCAGGCGCCGCAGAAACGTCAAAGAATCGACTATGCGGAGCTCCTTCGCCCAGCCCTTTCGGCCGACGAATTTCTTGACACGGTCGTCTCGGCCAAAGCGCTCCTGGTCGCCTCTCGAGTCCAGAAGTTCTCGGAGGACCCAAAGGAGGCAGTCCGAGTCGTTGTCAACTCGCCGCTCGCCCCTGCCTTCCCTCCGGGACTCTGGAAGCTTGTCCTCCTCGACCAATATGTCGACTTCAATCTCATCCGTGCCAACACGTTCGCGACAGAACCCGAGCGAGCCTCCGAGCTCGTCATCGGAGATGGAGAGTTGGAAGTCCGTAAGCCGCGAGCCAGCTCACAGATCACTAGCGCAGCCCAGTGGAATGACGCGTTCTGGATCTACTCGGAGGCAGTCAATTTCGCCTTCCCTGGCCGCGAACAAGAGCTACGTGCCTACAACCGGCACATCAACAATACCTTCTCCAGCACCCACGACTCCTGCCACCACCGCGTCTTCAAGTACGACCGCGCGCTCCGTGTCTATATCGGTCAGACACGGAGTCTCCTCCTTGACGACGCGCGCACCCTTGATCAAATCCGGCACGCCCATCTCTCCGAAACTGGGCCGCGGCTCCACGTCGTTGGAGACATCGAGCGGCACCCGCGACAGCAACAAGCTCGTGAAAGGGGGGCCCGGCCAAAGCAACGGACGGGTCCAGTGGAACTTTGCCGCAACTACAACGCAAACCGCTGCGCGTTGGCGCACTGCAAGTATCGCCACGCCTGCATCGAATGCCAAGGGCCCCATCCCGCTTGCGAGTGCCCCGACAAGGCATCTCGGCGCTGAGCAGGCTGGCCCCGCCACGAGATGGGATAGCAAACTCCACCTCTTTGTCCCGGAACTACTGCTTGGGGAAGATGAAGAGTCGTCGTGCTTCCTGCCACAGTATATGCGGGGGATGGGCTGGAAGGGTTTTTGAGCCTGTGTCGTACAGCCGCACCGCTCGGTATACGGAGATTGATGAACCGCTGCCGCAACCTTCGCCATACGAGTTCTCCAACGAAGCCGCCATCCGAACCATCCATGCCAACCCGGACCTATTCCAAGTCCCCCAAGTAATTCGTGCCGACCACCTCGAGAACCTCCTGGGGGGGCATCCAAATCAGCCCTTTGTGCAATCTGTCTTGACAGGGTTGCGTGAAGGCTTCTGGTCGTGGTTACACACCCACCACAATGAAGGATACCCGGAGACCTGGGATAACTCCTGGGCTCCACCGCCATCACAGCGAGAGAAGGACTTCATCACCAGTCAGCGCGACACCGAAGTACAGAAAGGGCGTTTCTCGCGCACCTTTGGCCCCGACCTTCTCCCGGGGATGTATAGCACTCCCATCTTCGCTGTCCCCAAGCCTCACAGTGAGGACCTTCGCCTCGTCTCACACCAAAGCTGCGGCCCGTTCGCTCTCAACACGATGGTTGACAAGGCACAAACGAAAGGACCGCGGATGGACACCATGCAGCAGTTTATTCCCGCCCTCCTCCGGTTCCGTCGCCAGAATCCGCATGCTGTCCTGGTCGTGTGGAAGTCGGACGTCTCAGAAGCCTTCCGCCTACTCCCTGTCCATCCACTCATGCAGCTCAAACAAGTCGCTACGTCGAACATACCAACGAAGGAGGAGCTCGCTAGAGGTGAAGTGGATGGGGCGATCGAATGCAATGTCGACTGGTGCTGCACGTTTGGGAATTGTGGCTCGCCACGCATATGGGCGTCCGTGATGGGTCTGGTGATCTGGATTGCCTTATTCGTCAAGCACCTAGCGGATGTTTTCTGTTATGTCGATGACAGTTTTGGCTGGGAATACCACAACAACCTCCTCTACTATGCCCCGTATGATAAGTTGATGCCTGCGAAACAGGTGAAACTTCTTCAGCTCTGGGACTCACTGGGAATCCCTCATAAGGAGAAGAAACAGCTTCACGGATCTTCTCTAACCATCATAGGTTTCGAAGTCGACCCTAACGCTATGACGATTAGCCTCCCCCCTTCCTCCAGATCTGACCTCATCAGCGCCGTTCGCGACTTCATCTCTTCAACTTCACGCCGTCACACGCTGCACGAGTTCCAGTGCCTTGCCGGATGGATCAATTGGTCTTTCAACATGTATTTCCTCCTTCGCCCCGCACTCTCCAACATATGAAGGCATTTATCGCTGTTTAATCAAATGTTGGGATCAAAGTTGGAAGTCGGAAGTCTGAACTTTTGTGTGACATGCAGGGCAGGTGTAGTTGGTACTCAGAAGTTGAAGGCCATACAAATAGAAGTCTAACTATGATTCATTTTTGTGCTTAGATCCAGTTTTGACCATATTTGGACTGATGTCTGGAATTTTGATTATTTTAATTATGTTGGCCAGTGTTATTTGACTCTGAGCTGTATAAGTATCAGTTTAATCAAATGGTTCACATTATACTTGCACCTTAAAAGCCTACTTAACATTGAATAAAGATCAAAAATAGTCTTGCTGAAAATAACATTGAATAAAGATCACTAAGGCTATTTTCAGCAAGAAAATAGTCTTCTCAGCTGTAAAAAAATTCCAACAGTCAATATTTAATGCAAAATATGACTTTTGTTAATTTATAGTCCTGTACTATTTTGTTCAATTTGGCCAGATCACTGGTTTTGATAAACTCAAAAATTACCAAAAATGTGAGAAATCAAGCAAAAAATATTATCAGTGTTTCCAAAAATTTATCATAACTGTGACATGTCAAATTGATCAAAATAGTACACTATTGCCAAATTAGGAAGCTATTAGAGTCTAAGACAAAATAAAAATAAAAATATTATAGAATCCTGTATCAGAGAAACCTCCCATTCGGCCCCCCAGACATGATTCCAATTCCAGTCTGATTCCGATTCCAGTCCGACCCCCCACTCACACCATCACGGATCCATCAACTCCGTCAAGACCCTCCCAACGATCACCTGGGGATAGAGCCTGCAACGCCACTCAGGCCTTCTGCGCTCTACGTTGGCAGTTACGGACGACCAGTATATAGTTGGTGCCCTAGCAGGCGGACCCTTAGAGTTTCTTCTCTTTGGATCCTCCCCTGCTAGGTCGGTCCCTCTGTGTATTTCCCGTAGCTTCTATTCATGCTTTGGATCCTCCCCTGCTAGGCTTTCGTCGGAGTCTCCAGGGTTGCCCTTACAGCCTGGACTGTTTTGTTGCATGATATATAGGCAATAGCTTTGAACTGGCATCAATATCATCCATTGACTTACTGATAATTCAAGGATAATTTATTCTATGTTTATTTTATTTTATTTTATTTTATTTTATTTTCTCTCTCTCTCTCTGTTTTCTCCTTTCAAGGCCCAAACATATCTGCCACAAATGTCAAATTATTTATAGTTTTAGCTTTTGATTAGATGGCCATTTTATAGGTGGCCTATAAGTGATAGCACTCAATACTACATATCTTTACAATAGCTGATTTATCCAAGTTCAGAGTTCAGAGTTTGCACTTCCATCATATGGTCATGTGACTGGATTCACAAGTCTGAAGTTCACACTTTGGTCCAACTACCAACTTGCCACTTCAGACTTGCCTCCAACTTCTGACTTCGGAGTTTGATATTACATAAATGATGTGACTTTGACCTTCTGCATTAATTAAACAATGAAAATACACCTTATAAACATGTACGAGAAGATGCGCGGAAAGTCGCAACCACACGCACAGATCTACATCAACAAGGCCATCAAGTCCGACCTCGAATGGTTTGTGCAGCACCTGCAGGACGCTTCATTGGCGTCGGGTCCAAGAATTGCCTCAGTCGATGACGTTGTCGCGTTGATGAGTTCTGGGCTAAAATCAGCTTCCGCGGGATTATCTGTCGAATTGGTTAGATTCTGGGCAAAATTTGCTTCCGCGGATTGATCCTTGATGATTTGGACTCCCATCTTGTACAGTCCTCCCACTATTTCGCCAGAGGCAAACGGAAACCCTTCTGCATTGTAGTAGTCAATGCATCCTCCCCCTGTTTCCGTCTGCACTCCTTTCAAGTCGAGTTGGGTGCCCGATATCAAGTTGCATCGTGCCGTGGGGATGTGCAAAACGTTGCTCAGCGTCGATAGGGTCCGCCGACATGATTGTCAGATGTCGGCTCCGACAATTACGTAATTGTCAGTCACTGACTGACAATTAATTATTTTCAGCTGGAGACCCGACATATCCGACAATTGTCACAATCAGTCACATTTTGACCAAATCACCACCAGATTACAGCACTTTGCAGAAGTGTAGGTGGTTTGTGGAGCGCGCTCAGCGCTCCAACCTGTTTACATCTGTTGTCGTGTTTTTCCCATAAATGGGTCTCTGGCTCCACTGGGTCGTTCCCAGGCCAGCTTAAAACTTGACAGGAGCCACAACAACAATAAACAGGTTGGAGCATCGAGTAGGCTCCACAAACCACCTACATTTTTGCAAAGAGCTACAGCTGATTGCAGAATTATGGGCGGGTGGAGCTAAATTTTTCACATCAATTTATCACAATCTGTACTAAATCTGGAGTGGATGGCGCAGAAAATCGGCAGAACGTGGAGTAATCTACTATATGTGGTGAAGAATGGGGCCCACTGTCAACATATCACAATGACAAACACGAAGCTCCACCCACCCATAATTCTGCAATCAGCTGTATAAGGTGGAATTATGACCATGATGGACCTTGCCAGTGCCGGCTTGACATTTTAAGGTCCAAAAATCGATTTGGGTCACAATATGATCGGTATTTCATTGGCCATCAGTTAGTGCCAACAGGTCAACCTATGAAGTATCTATATTAACTGCAGATTAGTTGAGTCTCAATACAAACGAGTGATACAAGGCCGATATTTGCCACATCCTGACTGCATATTATAGTTGCAAGTCATGGTCTACCTGGCAAAGCGCTGTTATTTCCAAAAAAGGCAATTGTCAGTGTCGGTGTGACCGACTGACAATTATGCGTGACATTCCGACTGACAATTAATTATTTTCCTCAAAACCTAATTGTCGGCGGACCCTACTCAGCGAGAAGTTGGAATCATTTCGGTGAGTACCTTCCAAGAAGATATGGCCCTTTCCAACAGCTTGTGTAGTGAGATTGGTACCGAAACCGTGGACGTTAACTGGGTTCCTGAAGAGCTTGTAGTCTCGGAAGGCCGCGCGGTTGTTGAAGACGTGGCGAGAGGCGCCGGTATCATGGTAAATGTTATCGGTGCGTGCTCCTTCATCGTTCTGCGACACGTTAACAGCGTTGACCCAGATGTCACCTTCCTCTTCCTCATCAACTTCCATTGGACCAACCATGAACGCGAAGCTCGCTCCAATCGTCTCATTGCAGACAGCCTCCAAGATTTCTTCTTCACTGTCTTCAGTGAAGTCCACCAAGCCTGCAAAACGCTGTCCTCCCCCTCGATTAATGTTCTGACGAGCTTGGCGCCTCGAGGCTGCCACGCGTTCAGCCGGCGGAAGGTGGATATTCCGTGCTCCTCGATAATGCTCAGGATACTGACCCTCTTTTCCGCCTTTGTAAGCAAAACAATCAGCTTGGCAGTGCCCAATCGGTGTCGCGCATTCGATATTTTCACAAAACAAGCGCTCCCTATCACGGTGGGACACATTGTTTGGAGGATTGGCTGCGTTGCGTCGATCATATGGCACGGGTCGTTTGTCATTGCGTTGGTAAGTCCGTTGCTGTTGAAACCTTCGTTGCTGGTTGTTGGTTTGTGCTAATGACGCGCTAGCAACTGCTCCTGAATCGGCTTCACTGGTCGTGTTCACGGGAGTCGCCTTGAGCGCCTTGAACGACTCTTCGCGTTGTAGTCTGGTCACAACCGCCGCCGAGCTTAGCGGCTTTCCTGATTTCTCAGCGACCGTCATCTCTTCCAGCAACGAATCTTGGCAATATTGCCACTTCTCTGTCTGTGGCATATTCGTGATGAGGCATTTCGCGAATTCATGGTCCGGAAGCATCAATGGGTCGGCTTCTCGAAGTTCTCCATATAACTTCAGCATTGCGACCCGCCAAGTTATAGGGTTCATCGTCCCACACAAGAATGAGGATATCTGGCCCTTAAGGGTGACGGCAGTCAACGTGTTCGTCGGTTCGTATGCGTCCTTTAGTGCGATACAAGCTTGACGAGCTGTTGTGCAGTCATTGGTGACATAAAGCTTAGCCATTGGAACGGCGTCGACAATCACGGAGAGCGCCTTCTTGTCTTGTGCCAGCCAGGCTTCAGCGGCTTTCTTGGCGACATTGACTGCTACTTCATTCCCTTGGGTTGTGATAGTGGTCATTATGCCGGTTGGATCCACTCCAGTGTATGTTTGGCTTTGAACTAACGCTGGAATCACAGGAGGATTGTACTCGTCTCCATCAATGTACTTCCAGTACCCAGCAGCGTCGAGCTTGTGCTTTGCCTTCACTCGGAATTCAGCATAGTTGTTAGAGCCGTCAGCGTTTTCGACGATAGACGTGAGTTTCAGGGCTCGCCACTCCTTTTCGCTTTCGACTGAAGTCATTTCAAAGAGATGTTGATACGGATAAGCCGTGGTATTGAGTGTCGATTGGGTGTTGTGGAGGCAGGCAAGCTGAGGTTACTGAGAGTAAGCGAGGATTGGTGGCAGTGTTTAGGAGTTGTGAGTATTCTGGCTGAATTGTACAATTTGTTGCGCAGATTTCAGCCGGGGCCCATAACAGGTCACGAGGTGTGACCTTCTTTGCCGCAACCCACCACTCTTGCAATGTACTCAGACGTCTACGTCGGGTGCTAGATTCTAACGTCAGGTCACCGACACACGTAGGCGATTGATCCAAGATTGATCTCCTACGAACCTGCATTGCTGCCAAGAAAGAATAATTTAGAAAGGTATTTCCCACACGATATCGTGACTAAGGACGCACGAAGTTTCCCGCATCCTGCCAGACCCGTCGATTCGACCCAATCGGTGGAGGGATTGCGTGCCAGAGAGAATTCCGCGGTAAGGTTTGTGAAGAAGTCCAGCATTCTCTGCTGTCTGCTTACACTCAGTTTCCAAGCCACGCAGTGTATATTCTGGGTGAACATGTCTATCAACAGCACAAGCCATTAGTTGTAGGTGAGTACCAATCCGTTCTCTATATGAAAAAAAAAGACTTACTTTGGAGCAGCAACTGTATACAATAGGCTTAACATCAGAATTTGCCGTCGATGGTGAACTTTAAGCAATGTGTCGTTCTGCGCTGGCTCAAACCAACATCAAAACCAACGCCTGCATATTATAGCCAGCCCAGCGGACCTGCTGGTACTTTTGTGGCTCAAACGGTCGACGCGTACCTCCGCAAAGACAGCGGGACGTGTCCTCTCTACTGCAAGACGTATACGTCCGCTAGACGCGATCCTCGTTGACCATCTCGTGCCTACCTCTCTCCAAACAGCTCTACGTCCGCTGTTCTGACTTCAACCGGCTCATACTCTCGCGTTCGTTCGCGCTACCAAGGTAAATCTTCCGCGATCCTCGCTGACCATCTCGTGCCTACCTCTCTCCAAACAGCTCTACGTCCGCTGTTCTGACTTGTGCCCACCTCTCTCCAAACAACTAGACGTCTACGTCCGTTGTCCTAACTTCCACCCACTAGTGCTCCTACTACCAAGGTAAAGATGGAGGACTGGGCTCCTCTTCGGCTAATATCTGCAGATGGGCCGGGCCGACCGCATCCGGGCTAAGCGTAAACCGCATAAACGCGACGGGCCCGGGCACGTGTATGTGCACCGCGTGCATATGGGTGGGGGGATGCCGACGATGGTCAAAATCGGCCATTCGGTGGACGCGACGCGCAGGCTGGCTCAGCATCGTCGCCAATGCCGCGGCGTCCGATTCATCCGACTACTGGTCTACTGGACACAATTGCGTATTCACGCGGGTAAGTTTTCTTTCTTTGACTCTGTTGCTATCTAATCGAAATAGAACGAGTATTACACGACTATTTCGACCACAAACAAAACGCGTGGATACCTCGGGTGAAGTGCACGGGGTGCCCCTGCACCCACACCGAACTATTCAACGCTGGGATATGTGGAAGTAAAAGGAAGCTGGCGAAGGGCATCAAGCGGGCCGCGCGCAAGGCGGGAATTATGTTATGGAAATTATGAAATGCTGTATGCTTACGTACCTTGCTATATGCTGACTCATATGATATACGCTTACTCAATCGGACGCTTCATTGGTATCCTACTACAGTAAGCCCTACCCTCTGCTGCGTCCTGTGCTTAAATCCAAAAGAAAAAAAATTGTTTTGAAATCGTATTCACTTGGAAAGAGCTTCAGCAGCCAACTTCTCTTGTTCTGCTGCGTCCTGTGCAGCGCGTTGGCTGGCTACAAGGGCTTCCGCCGCCGCGTCGGCTGCCGCATCGTTGGCGACATCAGCAGGACTGGTGAAAGGATTAAGCACGAGTGTAAGTGGGTATTATAGGATTATACGGACCTTCCGTCATGCTCAGCGGGCCCCGGGGGGCAAAGTTGACTTCTTTTTACCAAAGGCAAGCATATTACTGAGGGAAGGACGAGGAGGCGACGAAGGTCGTTATTAGTCGTGAAGAACGAGTGGGGAGTTAGAGGAGCAGAGGCAAGCCTGGGGAAGGCACATGACGTTCCGTGTGTCCGGCAAGTAAGTATAGATTCGATCGTCCCTGCCGCGATCGCGTTAGAGCAACCCATAAAAGGACATTCTTCTCGGCGCATAAAAACTGCTTGGTTGTTTGTTTGTCTGGTTGAGCGAAAGAAAAGCAAGGTGTTGACAGGAAAGAGCGTTGAAAGCAGCTGCGATGATGTCATGCATCAAATGGGTCCCACGTTCGTTAACTCCACGACTTCCGTCGGCTTCGTTGCACTGAAAATAACAAGAACATCCCAATCATATAGTACATTAGCACGTCGAGTACGTATAGAATGAAATAAATCGCTTCCTACTCAATAACCTCACCGTCGTCGCTATCGTCCCGTTGATTAGCCTGTCTCCGTCGCTCGCGGTCTTTGATCAGTTTCGCAAGCTGTGGATTGGGCTTGCACTGAGCTAGGGTAAGCTGCTTGCTGCAACCGGCTGCTGGGCATTTCTCTTTCTGCTTTTTAGAAAAGTACTCCTTGATGGCACTGCCAGAGTAGGAATGTTTGCAGACGGTCCTGCATAATAGCTGGAACGCAACTAGCAATTCAGTGAGAACGACGTACGAGGTATATGGATCTGAGAGGGTAGTCATGAGGAGAGGAAACTTGTAGTCTTGGCTGACACCGCCAATGATAATCTCGTCGTCGTCGTCGCTCTCATCACCGTCCTCTGTGGGTACATCACTAAAAACAACTGAGAAATCGAGAGGCCTACTCACCACGCGGGATGAAGTCAGTCATTGGAGGCATCGCATCCTCAGTATTTTGAGCATTCTATTCAGGGTGAGTAGGACGCGCCAACAAGAGATGATCCCACATACCCATACTGACTGTCTGAAGCTAGTATATTCTTCATGATTGGCATACTTCTGCCGGGACGTCTCGGTGTCGTATTTTGCGTTGGCCGCATCTACAGCTTCGAGGTATTGATTTTTCACATCGGTCTGCAGAATGTTCAGACGGTGTTTGCATATATAGGGTATCAACTGACAATGGCCTCTCCGCGGAAGATAGCTTGGGCAATGTCGGTTAATGCATGGCTATGGAAGCCGACTAAAGCCTCTACGTCGATGAAATCTCTCATAAGATGGTCGAGCTGTGCCAGACTCTAGGGGAACATGTGAGAAGGAGACGCGTCCACTTATTATGAAAGACAAACCTCGTCCAAAGCGTCCGATTGAGAGTCAACCATGGCGCTTGCAGTAGATCCCATCATCTCAGCAACCCTTTGAACCACGGACGACGCGTTTTTCCAGTCCTCAGAAAGGCCGTTGAGCTTGGTGCAATCAGCGCGAGTAAGGGGCTGGGCAGGGAAGTTGGCAATGTCGATAACATCATCTTCGTCATCTTCCTCCATAGGCTGGACTTGGGCTTCCTGTTTTGCTTTCTTTTTCCCTTTTGTCTTTTCCTGTTTTGCGATGAGCGGGTTCCTCCTCGTCAGAATCAACATCTTCGCGGCCTTTGGTGCGTTGGGTCCCGTTGTCTTCCTCGATATCAGATGAGGGCTGCCGGCCGTGCTGTCTCTTGCGACGAGTGGTGGTGGCGACGGGCATACTGGTCGTAGAGTCAAGACGCGCTCGTCACATTTGATGGTCACACCAATGGCTCTCAGTGGACCGTCAGCTCTGCGGGACGTCGTCAATCCTCAATTCCACCAGAATAATTTCCCTGCAGGTACGCGGTATTTTCAATGCCTGCTCATCCTGACCTGCCATTTAGAAAACTATATCAAGTCTGACCTAGGCATCAAACTTGACAAAGGTGTGTTTCGTACTTTCTATGAGTCCGCTTTGGGCTTACTCCACCAGACGATCAAATATGTAGACTTGCGCTCACTCCAGCTGGCTGCCCTCTTGGTCCTCTTCATTGTCCACTACGCCATACCCTTCCTTCTGTACAAAATTTCCAGCCACCAAAGCAACAAGCGACCCACACCCGCGACCGGCTGACTACCGTCTGCAAGCATTGGCTGCGTGGTCTTTGCAAGAAGGGTGATGCCTGCGAGTTCCTTCACGAATACAATCTAAGACGGATGCCGGAATGTTGGTGGTATGCCAAGTACGGCTACTGTTCGACTGGAGAGGAATGTCTTTACGCTCATCCTAAAGAGCGACGCGTTGAATGTCCCGACTATAATCGGGGCTTCTGCAGACTGGGTGAGTTGTGATGTGCACTGTGTTTGATTACTCACCACCGAGTTAAAGGCCCATCATGTCCACGAAAGCATGTCCGGCGAGTTGCTTGCCAAAACTATCTGACTGGCTTCTGTCCGCTGGGACCAGATTGCCCACGTGGCCAGTGAGCAGGCCGTCGTATTGTGTGTTGCTCATCTTTAACGCGATCTTAGTCCCAAACCAAATATCCCACCTCCAGAAGCGTATGAGACCCCTGCTCCACCAACTCTCGAGGGACCTCCACCTGCTGGTATGGCCAGATTTGAACCTTTTGGAGGCGGCTTCACGGGTCCCGTCCGCAGAAACTTGGACGAGGTAATGTGCTTCAAGTGCGGGGAGAAAGGGCATTACGCAAATCATTGTCGGAATCGAAATGTGAGGCCTTTTTCTAACTCGTTCTACTGAATTAACCTTAATTTCAGGTCCCAGGGAACCGTGGAGGACTCGATAGAGTGACTGGGAAACGGTACGACGAGTAAATGTAGCAAATGTTCACAAACAGAACGAAGTTCGTGGTTTGTGCTAGTGGTGACCAGAAATGAGACTGACCGCTTATCTAAAACCACACTCGTCAGCAGATCTGGACCGGTCTTTGATAATCAATCACCGCAATCGGCTATCACTTCCGGCATTCTGCGGCATCGTGTCTCTGTTGGTGATCATTGACCTCAAACCACGCCGCTGTACTCGGCAGTTGCATGCGGCATGGCTGCGGCCCAGACCGGTATTCAGCCATCACGAGGAGTTGGATAACAAGAAAGCACTGGCAGTCAAAGATAGTGTACTTTTACTGTAAGTTACAACATGACGTTCTGTTTGTCTCCGCCGCGCGTCGGCCTTATTTCATATTGGTAGCCTATAGATTCTATGTCACGTGCACGCCTTTTTCTTGCTTCCGTCTATGTTTGCCGCCCTTCGTCTCGGACGCCAGTTGGCTCTGAGAGCACCTCCGAGGCCCTCGTCCACAGCTGGGCCCTCCAGAATACTACTTCAATCACAACTCACCCTTCCCCGCTCTTTCCACGCGACTCCGCCTGCATTTGTGACTCTCAACCAGTCCTCGAAACGCAAGCGCAACGCGCGTCGTGTCGCCAAGTCCAAGTCGCCTCTTCTCAATAACTCGCCTCAGCGAAAAGGCGTCTGCATTCAGGTGTTTACCGCCAAGCCCAAAAAGCCAAACTCGGGCAAGCGTAAAGTTGCTCGAGTAAAGCTTTCGACGGGGAAAACATGCCAGGCGTATATCTCTGGCGAGGGGCATAACTTGCAAGAGCACAGCGTCGTACTGGTCAGAGGAGGGAAGGCGCAACTATCGCATTCACACCGTCGCCAGAAACACAAGCCCATCAGTCCCTTGTGCGACAACAGGTCGAAATCGTGACTATGAATGCGAGTCGGTCGCCGCCGCCGCGATCGTACGCGCCCCCGCAGTACAGCATCTCCCAGGCAGAGGCAGCACGCGAGAACTATTTTGACGCAGATGGGTTGGGCTATGTTTGGAGGACGTGATCGCGTCGTGAAAATTGACAGTGACACCTGAAATCGATGACGTCATCGTCGGCATCATAATCATCGGACCGGAGGTTCCTCGCTTCGCCCCGGCAAACTTCGAAGGAGGATTGCACCGCGCGGGTGCCTTGGACTGCACGCGTGGCCCAGTGTTTTGGAGGGACCCCCTTTGGCTTTGGCTCTTCAAATAACGGCGGCCGTTTTAGATGCTGATGAAGCCTTGTGGTGAAGCCTTGTGGTCAAGTGTTTATGGTACGAGTTGTGCGACCTAAATTAGCATAGAGACCGGCTTCTAATGTTATCATAGCTCCCAAGAAAGCTTGTCTCGTCACACCCTTTTGCCTGCAGTCACCATCCAGTTGTACCAACTGCCACAGCCTTTCCCCCCTCCCAGCGAGATTCATAAACGAGGTGGCCAATAATCGTCAACGCATTTCGTGAAATGGCCTAATGTTGCGGTTGTTTGACTGCAATGGCTTGTTCGTCTTAAAATACGATACTTAATGTGGATAGCACTGTGACACGGTCTGGCGAGATATATGTAGCCTGCTATTACGAGGACAACACTGCATCAAGACGACCTTTGGCTTCTGCTTCCTCTGCCTCGACTGCTCGTCCAACATCGAACATCTTCGATGGCCACTCTGCATCGTCGTCGGTCCCGTTGTCCTCATTGTCCGAATCACCTTCCATCCGATACCTTTCATTGGTGAATCGAATATTGGCAAGTGATCTGTACTGGTCATCGCCAAACCTGTGGATGACGCATTGCATGTAATGCCAACGGAAAAGTCCAGGCGGAGGATTCGACGCATGACCTGGCACTGGCGGGCGAGCGAGGTGACGGTAGATTTGTTCGTGACTTGTAGCTCCACGAAAACGGCCACCAACGGTGAATGATTGAGGCTGATTGTCGAAGATGTGTGTCTCGTAGGTGTCAGGCGAAACATAGCGGAAGCCCATGATGTAGTTGTCGAACCATGAGTCCATGTTGAGCGACAAGCACACGCCGAATACGGGATCAACAACAGAGAGGCCGGGGCGGGGCTGTCCCGTGAACGTTTCGAATATTGTCCTCGCAACATCATCCCCCATTCGCTTGGGGCAAATGTGGCTGTTACATACCGGCTCAAAGCTTCCCGTGACCCAGCAGCACCCGTCCCGCGCCAGCACACGCTCCCGCATAACAGCGGCATCTCCCGACGCAGCCGTTTTCGACTTGCCCTCCCGTTCACTGATCCGGGATAGGGGCGTCGTCGTTTCATTAGGAAGGATGTAAAAGTAGGTGGACGAGACCAGCGCATCGGAGCCAGCGACAAGAGCCCATTTGCGCTGTTGTTCCTTCCAGACCCACAGCGAGCCGCGTCGGAGGGCGGGATCGCAAATGGCGTGAGCTTGGTCGATCAGCCACTGGGAAGCTTCTTGGCCAGCGTATAGCAGGAAGTCGTCAAGCAGGCCACTGAGAAGACACAATGATTTGGCAGAAACAACCGCATTCAGATGGAGACGAATAGACGCGCAGGGAATGCGGAGATAAACAGTATCAGCAGATTTTGCCTCAGGGGGTCCACTTAAAGGGAGGAGGAGGTGAAGATTGGCACAGCCACAGCTTAACTGTAAGAAGCCGAATAATTGTCGACAGGTCTCTAGAGCACAGTCCATAACAAATTACTGCAAGGCTCAGCGCCCAGCGATAAGAGAATTCAGGTATATTGACGCTATATCTAGTTAAATTAGGTAACTACTCTAAGCACAAACCAGTCCTCACTACCGCGGCGCAGCCCTCCTTACCTCCCGCTCAACCTCCCAAATCTCTTGCACGCCCTCACGAACAAAGACGACATTATATTCGAGCAGGCCTCTTCTGCCCTCGTAAACCGCTGTTGGCACCAGCGCGACCAGCGCGAGGTGGGGCGTGACGAGATGGTATGTGAGAGTTGTTCCCGGTGTCGATGGGTGCAGCGACGCGGCGGCAGAGGGGTAGAAGCGGGCTTGTTCGGGAGAGGGTGAGGTGCTTTTGGTGGGAGAGGAGGTAGATGATGATGACGAAGGTGTGGACGGTGGGGAGGAATGGCCATTTGTACTTGCAGGCTCTTCAGGCAGTCGCAGTCGATTGTCGCGGGAGGTTGGCGTTCTGTTGACACGTGAGATTTTGAGCGTGTGTGTTATCATTGCTTACTGACCGATACAGTTGCCCGAAAGAGTTTAGCATGGCAAGATAGTCGCAACACAGATTATGAGTGGCAGAGTCGACGGGAGAGTTGTCGGTGGCCACATATAATCGGGACGCGATGTCGAAAAGGAACGCCTTCGGCGACTGCGAGTTCTAGACCACGCATTAGCCCAAATTCTGCTCGAAACGGGTCGCGTACGGCACAAAAGACGTTCACGAGATCTTCCAGAAACGGCAAAGGATGGATCAGCTTGTGGAGGACTTTCGAGAAAGCTTCATGTAGCCCGGTCGATAAGCGACTCATGAACACGTTCTTGTATCTGCCGGAAGTTTTCTGGGGGTGGGTTAGAGACCTTGAAAGCAAGAGGAAAATACAGACGCACCAATCTTGTCGTCTTCCTGAAACTTTTCTGACTTGTGCACGAAAACCTCCATAAAGATGGACGGGTTTTGCTGTTGTGCAGCCACAATGAACTCCACCAGCTTGTTTATGGGCTGCTTGAACACATCCTGAAAGAGCCTGAGTCCCTAAAGCACACAGAAAAACGGGAGGGGACTACACGAATATCAATGACGAATATAAGAGCCCCAAATTGCGACACAGTGGCGCGCCAAGTGTGTCGACGGTTATGTTCCCCGGGCAGTCCCAAATCTCGAGCGGAATAATCGTGCTGGAGACGTTCTGAGCGGCGAGAACTGGTGGGGAGGAGACGCAGCTCACTCGTAAGGGTGCCGGTCAACGCGCATTGTCGTTTCGAGATGAAAAGTCTGCTTTGGCGGGAGCGCATTGAAAAGGACCTCTTTGATTGAAGATTTTCCTGCACGGCGCTGGCCAAGGAGAAGTATTTTCGTGCGTGTAGAAGGGGACGACGATGAACTCGGCGTTCGTACAAGGGCTGAGGTCGCGCCGTATGTGGACATGGGTGAAAGCAGATTCGGCTTTAACGTTAACGCCTGAGAACGGTCACATATCGCGTTCGGTCCGAGATCGGAGATGACGAAACCTTCTCCTTGCTTTCTCCCATGACCATTCGACCATGAACGTGCTGGAATGGTTGTGGGACGTTTCACTTCGTAAGCTCCTTCGCAATTCGATTCAAACTTTACTACAAGTAAGCGACATTTCCGTTATAAATAGTAATACTCGCGAGAAGCGTCCTCCTAGATGGCCATATACTTAGGTAGAGATTCCAAAGCTTCCTTCCCATACCCTTGTGCCTAAATCTTGGTCTCTCTAGCTGCTATGTGTATCGAAATGTTGTTCATAGGTTCGGCGATCACATTCGCACTGCGCGATGTAAAGTTGGGCAACGCATCGTGCGTCGAAAAGTCGAACATGTCCGCAAAGGTCATTATCCACAGTTTCATTGTCAGATGTGCGAAGGTCTTCCCCTTACACTATAGCAGAATTAGAAGCAGACCGCTTGCGGGAGGCGACGAACCATGTGAACTCCGTTTCCCCAGCAAAGTACCTTTGCTGCATCACTCTCGCCATTGCCCCCTGGCATGAAGCGATCAGCTTTGAAGACTCCGGGCTCTGGATAAATCTGGCCGTCAACATGCAACGGGCGAATGTCGAACATCATCATCTCGCCGCGGGTCATGTGGAACACGTCGCCGTTGTCCCGCGGCACTGTAACCTCGTCTAGTGCCACGCGTAAGCTCCCTGGTAGAGAGCAGAGGCGCAAGGTTTCTGACACGATTGAGTCTGCTAGTCGGAAATTTCTGGACAAGCCCTGTGGGTTGTAATCCAAATACCGGGCAAGGTCTCCGCCGAATGGTTCAAGCTCCTTGGTTATCTCCATGGCAAGACTGTTCAGTCCCCTCGAGTCTTTTGCGAGGTAAGTCATCATCCACCAAATACTCATTTGAAGATTCGAGTGAATGCTCCAGAATAGGCTGAGCATGCATGCTGCCTGGTCTATCTCGGGGAGTTGCGCCACCGACTCAAGAGCACTCTTCAACAGTTGTGGTTGATTATGATTATGATCCTCCGTTGAAGTCCGTCGTTCGACGTTCTTTCGAATATAGGCCAGCATAACGGCCAGTAACCGGCTGCGAGCTCGTTTTGCTGCGATTGCGGTGAATGCCAAAGGAGTAAACAGGATAAACACATCGCGATCTAGGGCCCTAAAGTCCTCGAGCGTGTTGATAGGAAATGACGGTCCGAAAAATATCGACGTCAAGGTTTCGTATAATGTCTTGCCGATTATTTCCGAGAGTACTAATGGATGGTCCTTGGCTTGGTTTAGGTCGCTGAAGCGACGACGAAGATTCTGGTGAAGCGGGCGAATGATCTCTTTTTCTATGTTTGATCTAGAGAGTTTGCGACCGAAAGACGGTAAGAAATGTTCATGCACGGATGGCGTGAGAAGCTCTCGTGCTCCGGTGCTTCCAAATGCTCGCAAGACACGGAAGTGCCCTTCTGTGTGGTCAAGCTCGCGAGCTCCATAGAAGGTCTTGTACGCGGCCAAGGACGACACAATGTACATCTTGCTAGTCCCACAATAGAACCGGAAAACTGGACCGTAAAGGTTCCTAAAAGCGTCTTAATATTTTAGGCTGGTCAACATATTGACGATCCACCTGCAGTCAGTGTTGGCCCTAAGGGCTTAAAAACTGACCTCCCCAGGGTCTAAGGGCTGAGAGCTTAGGCTAAGGCTTAGGGCTTAGAAGGCTTAGCCGGGTTTAAGGGCTTAGAGTCCCAAAAAGGAAATTTTTGATGGCTCTAATTTTTGGCAATATACATGCAAACTATGGTTGGTAGACCTCCGAATCGTCAATTTCGACAGCTCCTGAATCAAGAGTATCATCCTCCGCCTCCAATTCTGCCATCATACGCATGTAGCGCTCGTTGTCTGCCCACGCACGAGCCAAAACCCTCTTCTTCTCCTGGATCGAGTCGAGCGGGTGGAAGTGGTCCCACAGCTCGGAGGGCATTGTGGAATCGACGGAAGACGAGCGGAAGAAGGGAAGATGGGCCGATAATAATCGATGAATTTTTGTCAGCTGCGTCGATCATATGTCATACATATTACGTGATCTCTAAGCCCTCTAAGCCCTCCAAAGATTTTCGGCCAATATCTAAGCCTTAGCCTAAGCCTTAGTCTAAGGCCTTAGGGCTTAGACACCCTCTAAGCCTTAGAGCTTAGAGCCAACACTGCCTGCAGTTCTCTAAAAACCGCGTTCGACCACGAAAAAAGTCCAAGCTGTTTTTGAGTCCGAAAAGGAGGGTGTTGGCGAGACTGTTAACTTGCGGAACTCCATTATACGCCGTGACCTTTGTCGGAGGCAGACAAACAAAAGAGCAGAATGCGAGGAGACTGATCAGAGAGAGGATCAAGAGCTGAAGTTCAAACATGGTGAGGTACCAGTGACTGTGGCACAGAAGAGGCATTTATATTGACTTGTTTTTTTGTTGTGACTTGAAGAGAGACGCTCCGAGTCAACGTATCAGACACACACACAGGCTTTGCGATCCAGGTTCCCGTTGAGGGCGGGTTCTCAACTTGGACAGCTCCACTGTTCAATACTCTTGAATCTGCTCATCTCAACAGCACCTTGGGACCTTCCCTTGTGCACGGTGCACCTGTGTTGGCGCCTTACGGTGAACTCGAATGCGATGTCAACTCTTCTGTGGCGGACATCAACGAACCCGAAGGCCACCGCATGGTTGGAGGACAGGTTCGCTTCTTGTTAGATACTCTCAGTCGATGCCAGCTCACGGGTCTCCATAGGCTGGTCGTGTTGATAGCCGCCCGAGGTACGACCAATGGCCCCGCACCGCACCATCATATCATGCCAGTTGTACTCGCCTTCCGACTCTTCGAAGCGGGAGAAGCACGACCTGTCGGTCCCGGTTGAGCTTGAACAAATCATAGGTAACAACTCCAAGTAAACTTGAAATTGAACCAAAGACCAAAGTGCCAGTGCATACGACTTTCTATTCGAAGACGAACATGGGGCGTACTAAAATTAGCATAGATCACAGGTCAGCTGAGCCGGGGGAGGAGTGGGTTTGGGCCAAGTTTTCGATGCTACTGCGGCCAATAACAAGACACGCTGCGGAGCCTAAAAGGTGCGACACTGAAAAGAAATACAGTGTCGACCGAGTGAATATATGCGGCGAGCACTTGAGTCCGCACACTCGGGGGAAAACTGAATACAGCCTCTACATTGGCAAGGGCTGCATTCAGAGCGCTGACTTCAACTCCAGGAATATGGTTTAGCCGGTGTCGAAGTTGACCGGCAAAAATAGCACCAGCGACACTGCTCATATCATCAGTGTGCATAAATGCCAAGCGCGAGGATACGAACGCAAGGCCTACTGATGCACCCAAAGTTTGCGTGAATGTGACGACGGATGTCGCACGAGAAAGTAGAGCTTCCTCTGTTGCAAATTCAGCTTGAACAACCACCATCTATCGCGCTGAAGAGAAACTTTGAAGGAACTAGTGACATGGATCCACAAACGGTATTCTGGAGGGCCACGCCCAATCCGATTCCAAGAATCAGCTGGAAACCAATGATGCGACCAGTGGAAGAAAACTCGTTGAGCGTGTACAGCAATCCGGAGCCTAAAGCCGCAACAAGGGGTCCAACAAACAAGAACGGCCAGGGATGTCCCAGTTTCTACAGCGATGAGAAAAACACCCGAATGTGATTCAAGTTGGGAAGTTCGACTAACTGCGATGCAAACTCCCGATATTAACGCCGCTGAGAGACGTGATTGATAACCGTGTCACGGAGATATTCCTTACCGACAGTCCCAGAGCTATCCAATTCGGTCAGAATGGAAACAGCAACAAGTGCAAATTGAAACCCGCACATCATAAACGGAATGAGATCGATACCTGAACGAGTCGCAGAATGGCCGCGCAGCTGGTAAAGGAAGGGCTACCGATATCAACTAGATGATTCAGAGATTGGGTGACGACTTACAAGATAGTACTGTGAGTCGTCAACGTGAGAACAACGTCATCAGATTCACAAGTTGGTACTGACACTGGCCAAAATGAAACAAATGTTGATGAAGAACTAGTCCGGCTTCAGCGAGGTTTACAAGAGACGGATAACAAACGCACCCCTTCGAGGCACGATCCAAACATATTCCGTCGCCGAAACATGTGAAGTGGTAGTATTCCCGCCTCACCTTCTCGTAGTTCCCAGAGCAAAAATGCCAGGAAGAAAACAGCAGACTGAGAACGCTTAGAGATGCGCAAGCTTATGGCAAAAATCCTGACCAGGACAAGCAGCGAGATTACCTCCGGATCGCTCCATCGTTTGGTATTGCCGCCCCATTGAATAGGTATGAGGAAAAGTGTGACCATTCCGATGCTCAGAAGACCGCCGATCCAGTCTAGAGATAACCGAACCCTCAATGCCTGATGGTTGAATTGGAGGCAACGCTGCAAGGATGGTTGCAAATGCGACGCCGCCGATCTATTATGAGGTAATCAAGTCTGAACTCTTCCGAGAGTTTGCGCCAAACCGGTAAGTTGATGTCTGGCCCACATTATTAGCATCAACATAAAAGGCCAACGCGACATTGACTTACAAAAACACCAGCTGTGGGAAAAGTTAGCATCAAATATACAGACGGGTTATTTGTCTTACCGCCATGAAACGTGATCTACAAAAATCATCGTTAACAGCAGGGTGTGGTTAGACAAATATTCATGCACCAGTGAAAGCACCTCCGATGAGAGGACCAACAATTGAGGCGATCGCGTATACGGCTCCGAAAACACCCATGAATACGGGCCGCTGTCGAAGAGTCGTCACCTGGAATTGATTGGGGTAAAATGTTCAGTGTTTTGTTGAGATGAAGAGTTACCTTGGCGATAATGAACATGACTGAGACCATGAGTCCTGAGGCGCCGACGCCTGCCACTACCCTCCCTGCAATGAGGACATTGACAGAAGGGGCTACAGCACACAATAGACTTCCAGCTTCAAAGATGCCGATAACCAAAAGCAGAACCGCTTTCGCCGGCGCCATGCCCAAGATGCGACCGAAAAATAACATTAACCCTGCCTGAAAATGACTGAGCCATGCGAGTAGCTCCATGGAAAAAGGCTTGCCTGAGGCAGAAAATATGCACTTGGTATCCAGGATAAATCTGAAATCGCCTCGAAATGCGAAGCAATCTTGGGGAGAGCTGTTGAAAGGATAGTTTGGTCCAACGCGGTCAATGAGAAAGCAAGCATGAACGCCCTTTCAGGTATGAGCTTGTAGAAATGCCATGGCTAATAGCTTAGAAAATACATACACAAAAGTCGAGATGAGCTTCGGCGACGTTAACTTGACGCTTGCTTCTCCATGTTGGTCACGGTCTTCTGGAGAGTTGGAGGTTTGGGCCTCAAGCTTTGGTTCGTTCAAGGAGGACATGGAGGGTCGGAGATGAGCCCAATAATAGAAAATAATGCTCTCGCCATCATGAATAAATGCAGAGTAAAGGCTTCTGTAGACGCTGTGACATCTCTCCATCAATGTTCGTTTCTTTTCGGCAAACCATCACTGAAAATGGCTTTGCCGCTTTGAACCCTGTCTCGACTTCTTCTTCCTCCTGCATCTATCAGAAGGCTGTTTCCTGCTGTGCCGACCCTCGTGTTCTGCTCAAGGGGGCGATTGACGTTGAGATCATATAACGGCCAAAGATGACTCTTTCATCGCGACTATGGCTTCAAGCAATTTCCACTTCTCCATGCTCTATGGCGGCGATGACCGTCTCACCGCTACCGCTCGGCACCAGCGCTATCTTTTTTCGAAACTTGCGCTCAAACCGGGCATGCGTGTGTTGGAAGTTGGCTGCGGTGTAGGGGACGCATGCTTTGAGCTTTTGCATTTTATGAATGTTTCTGTTGTTGGGATTGATCTGGACTCGGACAAGGTAGGCCGGGCTCCTACTTGGAGGTATAGAGATTTACCACGAGCCCTTCAGATTAATGCGGCCTCTATGAGAGCTCTCAACGGTCGTGTTGGAGGTCGAGCCGAGTTTCGTTGCGGTCCGTGCATTCTCACCGCTTGAGCTAGCATTGCGCTTAATTTAGATAGCGGACTTATACCAACTGGAGTCCGAATTCGGCGCGGAATCTTTTGACGCGATTTACAGTATCGAATCTCTCAAGGTATGCACTAGTGGGCCTGTCGCCGCGATTATCTAACAATCGAATTCTTTGCCTGGCCCAGCATTGTGCGAGCTTTCTAATTTCGTATTCCACCTTGGGACGTTTATTGCGTCCAGGAGGCATGGTAACTTCGACCCGATGTTTGTTGATTCACGACTTACGCTTTTGGCAGCTCGGAATTTACGAGTGGTGCTGGACAGCAAGCATGAACCCACTCGATATCACTCATATCCAATTGGCAGAACTTTTCGAAGAGCAGACCCAGATCGGTCACCGAAGTATCTTTGACCGTCGTATTGACTGTGCCACACAAACTGTTCAGGACACTGGAGTCCTCAGGCTAAAGTTGGCATATATCGAAGATCTCGCCAATCGTCGCTCGACATCGGCTTGGTATGCGCCATTGGAGCGAGCCTTGGGCCAATCGGCGACTGTGTGGAGCTCCGATGCTGACGGCGAAGGTGCCTTCGGGGATCTAACAAGAAGTGCTGCTGTCTTCATAGCCCAAGCAGGGCGTCTGAAAGTGAGTGTGCGGTGGCGATCTAAATTAACATCATTCACATTCACAAATAGCTGTTTAGTCCCATGATTCTTGTGGTGGCCTGTCATCTTTGATAGAGAATCCCGTGTACCTGCCCCCATGAATTGTAGATAGCAGTCCAAATTTGGAACACCGATGATATCTCCGAGTCACACTGCACTGGAGAATGGATAAAACTGGAGACCCTCTCTGATTCTCAGTAACCAGAATGTCGGCACCTGCTCCAAGTAACCCTGCTGCCATTGCAGATGCCCTTGAATCAATTTATAATGGAATGGCCATTACCCGGATGGAAAATTGTGCACAAAGTATGTACTGTCGCGACGTCAGTTTTGCTATATCTTATGTTAAACATAGTTGCCTCCATCACTTTTCTGGTCTATGATATTCTACTCAAGTTTGATGATGAGGAAAGTTGAAGTATATTCCCCAAACTTGCTAGGTTACTGACACAAATACAGTTTGACTATGTTTGGAAGTATGTACAATATCATTATTATTATTATTATCATGGTTGATAGCTGACGATTGCTAACTTATGGACAGAAGTAAAATGTCTTCAATCAAATTACTCTACTTCTTTGCACGTTACTATGGGGTGCTCTACAATCTGTATGCACAATATATCCATTTATCCCAGCAATCATATATTGATCTTCTTGCAGCAGTGTTTTTATTGGTACAATGATCTCCTCTTGGCTCAGGTTTAATGTTAATACAAATATAGTCACTAATATTGTTGGCCTATCTCTCCAGGTATGTAATTCTTTATGGACAAATAGATATCTAATAAGTTTACAAAGTTGTGGGTCATTCTGCATGCTTGGTTATGTAAAGCTATAATATCTTTCCAGCTGCTCAAACTGGTTTTGGTTTGTGATCCTGTAAGTGTAAATTGATTAGTCAGATTGAAGACTGACAACAATAATAATAGGGGTGGAGATATTCTTTTTACTAGCATGGTTAACATTATTCTGGTGCTCCGGATCAATGCCATGTATCTGCAAAGTCGAAAAAGTAAGAATTTTGCTTTTGCAAGAAATACAATTCTAATCACTGGCACAATTTCAACAGTTCTGTGGTTTTTGGTTTTACTGCTTATAGGTAAGAATATAAACTAGAGACAAATATCTTCTTACATAAGTTGCATCTTATAGTGCAATTTGGAGTAAGTCCAAGTAAATGATTTATCTATTGTCTATAACAATTAAATAGTTAGAGCTATATTCAAGTGTGGATATTGCCACAAAGACTGCTACAAGTGTATTCCCTGCTCCTTTGGGTTTGCCTTGGCCAGGATGCTTTGCATTTCCAGATATCAAAGTCAGCCTTTTTAGTTGGTAAGTCTCTTAAACCAAAGAAAAATCCTTAGAATTGATGTTTATCTCAGGATACCTGATGCTATCATTGCCAGCAAGTTATTCCTTATCATATAATATGGAAATGGCTGATATATAAGTTGATAACAGCAATCTTCTTTTTGATGACTATTGCAACACTCTTTCGCAATGCTAGCTTCCAACTTGCTGACTTCAAGTCACTTAAACGAATTTCTCCTCTTTTTATTTCATTCATCAGAGATGGACTGATCTTCTACTTTTTGTAAGTTGCCATATCAAGGTTGTTTGATGACTCATCATGATTTAATTATCATAGCATTTTTGGTAATTTTTTTTCTGTCAATAGGAAAACAAAATGATGGCAACTTTAGCAATTCTGCTCACTGACATGTTCATGAACCTGCTCTACAAAAATTCTTTTGCTAACTTCCTTGGAGGGTAAGACAAATGCCACAGATCCAGGGATAACTTGAGAATACTGACCCAAATGTTAGATGGCTTATTGCTATTTACTCAATTGCGGTGGGTCTCTTCTCTCACTCAAATTGCAAAATCCTTCTCAACGAGTGGCTATAGGCCACGCGCCTCATTCTCAACTTGCGCAAGACCTCGCAGCTTCCACTCGAAGAGTCTGTTATGTTGCACACTCTCAGCCACAGCAATGATCGTGAACGTGAACATCATATCCCTGCGAGTGTGGGCTCCATTGTCTTCGCAGAGTTCTAATATATATACGAACAAATTTTGAAGCGACACGTATACAGCTACAAGTACGAGCGATGTACTTATTTCTATGTTTTAGTAGTTCAGTCCCGTTTCGTGATTTTGACTGGGACTTCTCCCACCCCGAACGCGGTACCAAACATGCTCGCGCCGCTTAGAATACGATCCAGAGCAGTTTGATGCGTCTCCCCCGCGTGCAAGACTGTTTCAACTTGCCAGTCTCGAAGAAAGTGGGCGAGAAATGTCACTGCCTCGGTCTGAGCAAAACGACGTCCCACGCATGAGCGCGGGCCCGCTCCAAACATAATGACATCTTCCTTCAAGTCGGGGGAGAGCCAGCGCGCAGGGTTGAATGATTCTGGTGCGGGGAAGTCGTGTGGGTTATGACCTGAACAAAGTGAGTCAGCCAGGACGTCGCAATAAGAAGGTAACGAGACGGACAGACTGCCATGATATCGATCATGACGCGGGAGCCTTTGCGAATGATGATATCTTGTTCGGTTGGAAGCATGGTGCGCAAAACGATATCTTCGGGTACATCGCGAGGCAGATTGATTGTCGCGGCTACGTTCCATGTCAGACCACCACCAGCTGGAACAAACGTGGTCACTTACGAACAAGGCGATGGGCTTCGTGCATACAAGCAAGCAGATATTTGAGGCCAGAAACATTCCGCAAGGTCTACAAAAGATAAGGCTTGGTAAGTCATATGTGGAATATCTGTAAGCACTATTTCTTCTCTCGAGGGAACTTCTCTCAAGATTTCTTCGTATGCAGTCTGTTGCTGGTCTGGGTGAAGACCCAGAAACACCAAGGTCGACATCAACGCGCTGCTTGTGGTTTCTGTGTCTGTCAATCGAGGAAATGTAGACGATAATGCACTGCACCATTGCCCGCGAAGAGAAGCGACATCATGTCCCCCGTCTGCAGACAGTTTAGTGGTAGGAAAGACCACGACGTAGTTAGTATCATGTGCTCACCACTTCGGCCGGCGTCAGTGTGTACCGCGAAGCTTCCTCGGTGGACGACACTAGCTTCGTGAAGAGATCTGTGATTTCGCTGTCTCCGAGCTCCTTGAGCGTCGAATACTGAACCTGCCTTCCTGCGGCGAGGGATGCTATCAGCGTGAGCACTGTCGTCCAAGACTCGTCAATTTCTCTGAGCCTGATCGAAGTCAGCCATATTGAATAGCCAGGGAAACATCCAACCGTTGTACAGGCAGCCGCCAGACCCAGTTCGGAAAGATAAGACGATGAATAAGGGTCGTGGAAGCAATTGAGAGAGCACGGTCGAAAATTGCTACTTCATCGTTCGCTGTGCTCGGCTTCCAATCGACAGACATTCCAAACCCACAGCGACAGATCATAACGAGGGTGAACTACACATCGATAAGATAACCCGTAAATGTCGATAGGAAAAACCTACCCTCAACAATAAGGAATGTAAATCTGTGACAACTCCGTTCGGTGTCAGGTCTTTACACATTTTCTGATAGACTAAAGCAGACTCATCCACAACACGCGAGAGCCTGCCGAGATGAACATCACCGCGTTGAAAGTCAAGAATAAACCGAGGCGCACATATTGGATGAGATGGCGGGAGCAACCACACGACGATGTCGTTTCCAGTCCTCACCGTTGGCCGAAGCAATGCTACTGCCCCAGACTCTGTAAATGGAGCGTGAGTTGAAGAAAATCTTAATATAAATACTGACGCCTCCGTGGTAAAATCGCTGGGTTTGACGAGATGGGTCTTGCCCTCATTGCCCCATATCTGCCTAGCCATACCCACTGATGCCGCAATATACATGCTATTACCCGCCAAGATGGGTATGATGGTAGTGAGATCATAGGTATGGTTGAAATGAGCTTCAAGTTGAAATTATCAGCATCACGAGGTCTTTTTTAGGCCGGACGGACTGACCATGTTTTCGTTGAATCCATGGCCACATGAAACCCATGTGCCACCAATTTGCTGGAATCGCATTTCCGGGAAGCGAATGAGGGTCGAGTAGTGGACGGTATCCTTTCACATAACCATGGAACTGAGATGGTATTAGCAAACAGAGGTGGTAAGATGACGAACTTACGCTGAGCTGCTTCAGGAAACGTACGAGACGGTAGGCAAAAAACAACGTGCCAATGCAAAGAGGCAAAGGCAACATGGTGTGTAGAGGTGGTGGTTCGATGTTAACAGCAGTTCCGCGTTTGTTCGTGTGAATGGAATGGAAGCGGTGATGCGCAGGTCGAAGGTTATTTTGGTCGCAGATCACTAGGAAAGCGAACACACAATGCTACACAATGCCAGTGAACAAAGTTCAAGTATATCATCATGATGATTGCAAGGTTACCATTGTACAAACCTCGTCAAACTCCGAATCATTCAAACAACATCGCCGGATACCGCGACGGGCCATTGTTCAAAGGAAAGTCGCTTAATTCTTTATTGCGCAAATAGACGTCTAGTTCTTGAAGATGTCAAATTTGAAGATTAATGCTATTTTCTGCGTAAGCCAGCATCTCCGATTCATTTGAAGTTTGAACTGTCGACAGCGGAATGCGCTAGGACGGCCACAGCTTCGGTGGACGGTCAGAGAAGAAAACACGAGGATGGAAACAGCTACACACGATGCATGCAGCTTGGATGCAGTCTTGACAGACAGACATTGGCTATGGGCTACGCAAGGGGCCAACACGTCGGGGCGTGACTAGTTTCAGAAATTTCTGTGACCGCCGTTAAGGACCCGTGCGAGTCCCTATTGAGGTAGGATACCGAAATCCGGACAAATTTTTGAAATCTTTGATGGAGGTCTGACCAAAATCCGGACAGAATTTCAGCCAAAACCGGACATCTTTGATCTAAAATCCGGACAAGACCATAGACAATGTCTGAGGTTGAGACCCATGCCAATGTTGTGCAATGCCCGTGGGCATATGCCCGTGGGCATATACCCGTGGGCATATCCTGCAGGATAAACCATCCTGCAGGACAGGTCAAGGATCCTGTAGGAT